TTTGAAGAACACATTAATCGCACTAATCGAGGGATTCCTGTACATAAATAAAGATATATCAAAACTGGTAGTGCTTTGAATACACATACGTGTATGTACGTCTGCATGTATATCTCTTATGTATCTTAATGTCTGTGATCATTATTTGTATTTTAATTTGGGTATATTTTGGAGTTAAACATGAAAAAAGCGTCTATAGCATCCTGTAAAAACAAAGAACAAATTTTGATTCACTTTTTATTTAGCAGCATCATGATGTAAAGGTAAAAATTAGTTACAACACTAGCGTGTGAATATTCCCGAGATACTTTCACAATCAAATCTTTCTCGAACCAATAAAAATATTATACCCAGATCTTACTTCAACTCCTTTAAAATATATAATGTTACACACAGATATTTCCATCACAGACTTATGACTACAACTAACAACTATATAGTTTTACAAAACATAAAGATTGATTTTAAGTTGGTTTAAAAAATTCTTCTTGTGCTTTGTTACGAAATTGTTCACTTGCTGTTTGTTCTGCAGCTTAATATAAAACATATTTGTTTATTTGTTGTAGGGCACGATGGGGTGTTCACCTGAGGGAATTAAACCCAAGATTATAGCATTGTGTGTAAACTTACCACTGTTCCACTGGGGGAGGGAAAGAAATCAACTCCAGTTAAAGTTTTTAACTGAACAAAATATAACAATACAATTTCCCAAATTTAAGTTCAAGACTAATCGGAGCTTCCTGATTTCACAAAGTGTAGCTAGCTTGAAAATAACCTATATATATGTATATTAACCAGGCACTAAAGGGTATATCTACTAAGGTTTAAATAAAAATTAGTTTTAAATTTGTGGGATTAGAAAATTCATAAGAAATGCATTTAATGCAAGAAAACTGTAAATGAAGATAATTTCAATTACAAATTTTTTGTATTTATTACTGTTACTTTTTTAACTTTTTCAAGCAGCATAAGCAATAAAATGGAATCCATAACAACAACAAACAAACAGTAAAACAAATTACCTTTATGTCCTACAAATCAAGAAAGTCCATCTAAGTATTTTATTTTTTAAAGAAATGTACAATGTTTTTTTTTTGCCAGTAAAAGTATTTCAGGCGAGTAGTTTTATGTATTGGTTCAAATAATTATAATATTTTTGTTATTATCTCAGAAATAAAAGAATTGATGTATCTAAACAAGTGAGCCTTTGTAACGTAAGTGTGATCTACTTCTAAAGATGTGGATAAGAAACTTGTAGTGTAATTCTTTCCTTTAGAAGAAAACCAAAATTCAACCGATTCAAGCGAAACTCAAGGCCTGAAAATTGACCATGTCTAGACTTTCTTGAGTTGAGTTATTTTCTAATTATATCTATAGATTTTCAAAGAGGAACGAATACAGTTGAATTCAATCTATCGTAATCTTAAAGGCTTAGGTTTCTTGGCATATTGATATATATAACATCAAATCAGTTTGTTACATCAGATTGTCTTCATTATTTGTAATTATTTTAGTTCTGACACACAGTTCTTGATAGTGATGAAATATTACACTTTTTTAATATCCCACAGACTTTAGTCACTTCACATAAAATAACGCGTTTATGAATGTAATAAAACATTGCCCGGTGACATCAACATCTGATATGATGATAGTTCTGTATCTTCCATTTAGAGAGTACGTGACTGGCTCACATGAAATGCTCTATTAATTACAAAACACCTTTTGGATCAAACTTATTAACTGTTGTTCAAGTTGATTATTGGATAGATATATAGATACTATGCAATGAAATGTTTTATTTTTTAAGTAAAGAAAATATGAGAGTATAGAAAAAAAAAACTAAAGTAAATACATTTTGTTGTTGTCAAGATTTGAATTTTGTTTTATAGATTTCAAGAAAAATCTCATCCCTTTAAAGCTCTATTAACTAATACGTTATATTATTGCAAGCTGTAAGAGCCAAAAAATAGACATTAATCCAGTGCACACACACACAATAAAATCAACAGTAAGAAAATTAAATTTTAAAACATCATGACAAAAACCAAATTCTGCATCAAAATTTTCTAGATTAGTGATGTACTAGTGTAGAGAAGAGAAGCCTTACTTGTAACAGGGGATGCTGAAGTAATAAACAACATTGAAATAATGACCAAAAAAGGGGTTGTTACTGTATATTTTGTGAAATGTAACGTCACAGAAGCAGTAACCAAATGTATAGAAACAAAATACGAGAAAGATGCTTTCCTGCATCACAAAATAGGCTACACAGTAATTATTTACACCTTCCTTTCTACGTCTCTGTAAAACCAATAACTATATAGATTTTTTAAAATAGCTAGTGCTCTTAACTTGACTTCGATCTGCGTGTAGTGATATTTATAAACTACATAACATACAAAATCAGATCTAATTTAATGACACAATTTCCAAATAATCAGTTTTGAGAAACAATTAGATGCAGTAATAAATAAAAAAAAAGGAGGTAGTTCTGTAACTACGGAGAATGGATCTAGTTCTGTAACTACGGAGAATGGATCTAGTTTTGTAATTACGGAATGCATTCGGTTTCTTCTGTCTGTAAAAAAATTCAAGCTTTTAATACTTTAGCTAACTTTTTCAATGTCAGAATTTATTGTTACAAAATAAAAGTAGTATTTTTACTCAAAGTTTTTAAGTGTAAAATACAGGCATCTGATTGGAAGAGAGAGAACTGGTAAAAAAAGGTACCAGCAACTCAATCTTGGCATAGGATTTATAGACCCCCATCGCCCTGATGGACCATCTGTCCGATATCGGCCATTTATAATTATGCTTATTTAAGATTATGATTTCTACATAGCTTGTTTGTATCAATTTCTTTGTTTATACTTCAATCCAAGCCCATACCTCCAGTCCACATGAGGGGTGAAGGAGGATTGCTTAATCTTCGAGCACCCCCGATTATTAACTATTTCTTCTGAAATAATCAAGTTCAAATCAAAATAACTGCCATACGTAGGGATCAACAGAGGATTAAAGTTATTGGCAATAAAGAAAGTTGCAACACCGACAACAGCTGTTGTAAATTAATTTTGGCCTCGCCAAAACTTTTTCAAGAACAATAATATGAACAGCTTTAGTATCCATAAGAAAATTTCTAGTATACAAGGTGTTTTAATTATTCCAAAAAAAGTACAATGTTGTTTCTTTTATTTGAAGTGATAGTGATATCAAGTTTGAATACCAAAAACTTTGGAGTTTGACCTCAATAAATATTACTTGCAAGACAGGGAGTGAGAATGATCAAGAAAATCAGAGAACTGTCTCGTAACTAGGAAGAATATTCATTACAAACACTTAATAACTATCCTATACCATAAAATCCAGACGAAGATGTAAAAATCAGTTATGATATCACATACCATTTAAAATATTAAACACTCAAATGTGTTGGTCCACTGTACATGTAGACAGATATTTAATGTTTTATATTAACTGTTATTGTACACTGTATTTTAAGACTGATTTTTTTAACACAAAAATAATAAATAAAAAGGCTGATAATTCCAGATTTATTCTATCAAAGGCAAATGTTTATTATTAAACTTATAAGCTCAAGATTTGATTAAAAACCAAAAAAATTAAAATTTTATTATTGTTTTAATCAGAAAAAAAAAAGTATGAAAAATTATCGTAGGTGTTTGAAAAATAAGGCTTAGCCTGGTAAAGTGAGCTGATAAAATTATAGCCACTGAAAGAGCAGATCAACAAGCACATGATTCAAGGCAGTTATTAACAATCTAAAGTCTGTAACTATTATGCCATTAAGGGTTGGATAATACAAAGCAAGGAAACATTAGCAGGACAGGTTAATATGGTCAGGTTATACTGTCGTCACAACAATGGCAAATATGTACAATCAGTAACCAGAGAGACAGTGTGAAAGGTTAGTAATCATGTACACTAGAAGATCCATACTTAGCTTCCAACTGTTGGAAATTACATGTCATCTCCGAGACTTTCTGTTGGAGGTCGCTAATTTGGTCTGCTTTCTCCTTTATTACATTTTCATATTCCTGATAGATACATAAAAAAAATATCATAATAAGTATAAATACTTTTCACACCAGTGTATGTGCGACTACTTACACATATGATTAAGTTTGAACGATATAGGTAACAGCTATTGTTATGTCCATTATGGCTTTCAATAGGAAAAAAACAGCACTCAAGCAACTGTGAAACTTGTATAATCACTGGAGAAAATAAGCTTCATTAAAGTTCTGTAAATCAACGTACCACAACAATTTAGTTTTAATTTCATCAGTATCGGTGTTCTTTCTTCAAGTCTGTACGATCTGATATTGTACGATACTGGTGTTTAAATACCTGGAAGTCCATAATCACCTGGAATATCTGTAAGAGGTGGTCTAGAAACGTGAACTTTGATGTGATGTAAATGAATACGTACAACTATGTCTCATTACTTTCTCTGCTTGAGGGGATAAAGCTGAATTTGTGTCAAAACCCACTGTTTTTGGGTGAAGTAATGTCAGTGTTTTATACCAACAGTGTGATGGTGTACAGTGTTGTTGTCATTTTAATATCCTGAAGTTTAGAGCTATTGCGGTGAATAAGAATATTTTATTTATACTTAAAGACAAAGTCAGCTTGTGGTAACTGGTACCTTTTTGATGTTGGCATTACTTAAACACAAAATCAGCTTGTGGTAACTGGTACCTTTTTGATGTTGGCATTACTTAAACACAAAATCAGCTTGTGGTAACTGGTACCTTTTTGATGTTGGCATTATTTTTTTTTTATTTTACTTATTTCAAATGTATTTAAAGTTGGCTGTTTTGATGGCCAACTTTAAATATAAAAGTTCGCACAGGACCAAACCGAACATCCCAAAACACTAATGAAAACCTTTTTCTTGATAACAGATTGTTCATTCCCATGATACCAAATGTTTCTTAAATACAATAAGTTGATAGCGGTTGTTGACGGTGTCTCACGACAAACATATTAATAAAAAACACAATTACGCATTTCAACCATTTCCTAAACATTGTTACTTTCCTGAAATCTTTTCAGCTGTGAGGTTGAAATTGTTAATCTAGTCATCTGCATGACATACAACATTTGTTTTATGCAAGATTTATAATTTATACATTACATCTTGGTATGTAAAGTGAATTGGACATGTGACATGTAAATGCACTGAATCCGAATGTATAAATTAAACCTAATAACTGACACTTTGAGGGATTATGTCTTTTATAATCGGTTAATGGTAGGAGTTTGGGGGCAGTACTTTCATCATCAGCAGGTGGTACCTCCCTAAACTGGACATTTGTAATGTTATTTTGCATAGTGTTGCTGTGTCTAAAGTCTAGTCTTTTATTGATGTTGCTATAATTAAATTTAGAATTCAAGATAAAACAGAGTTCTGTAAATTGTCGGTAACATCAATTCATCGTCAACTGTTTAGTTTGTGTAATTGCCATAAAATCTGAGCTAGTCACAGCTACAAATGATAACCAGTGTTGATCATTCGTGGGATGGCAGAAGCTATTGGAGGTTTATCACAATATAATGAAAAGATGAGAACTGTAACTTAAAGAAACAGCTTTCATTAAATTATGATGAGAAAAAAAATCAGATAATATTAGCTTACTTACTCTTGCTATATTCATAATGATTAGTTTTACTGTGTAGCATCTCAAAGTCATCCACTTAAAATAGCTGGATGTTATTACAGTTTCAATTTGAATCATCAATTAGTAATAACTTGCATGTTATCATCTGATAAAAATTGATAGTTCAACTGTGATTTTCTATAAAAGCCTTAAAAGAAATGAGCAGTCAAACTAATTCAAAAGTTTAAATGTTTTCTACCATTGTTTAAAAATGATTTGATCCAAAGTTTCAAGATATTAACACTAAAACAAATATTTCATGTGAATAACTATTCAATACAAATCCAACAGGTGTTTTTAGACAACCTTAGAAATTAAGAATATGAAAAACTGATGAGATCTAGAAGCGAGTGCTAACAGACAATACTGGGACTCGATTGCTCGTTTTTTTCAGATAAAAACAAATCCGTAGATTTTGTTTACCTGTAATCTGTTATACATCTGCATATTGATCATCTTGATGTCATCAACCTGACGTTGTAGAGAGCTTATGGTTTCATTTTTTTCATGAACATCTTTTTCTAGCAGTTTTAAAGCCATTTCTGTTTCCGTCTTCAACGATATCTGTGTCTGTAGATCTTGTTCCACCTCCTAAAGACACCAAAAAGAGGTTTCAAAATTATCAGATTGTTAAATTTGCAAGTAGAATGGATTTCAGACAGGTACTTGTCTCTGAAATACAAAAATAGTTTCATGGTTGAGTTTCTCTCATGCTGTCAAAAACCATGAGAGTCAATGTCCTTGACACAATGCATAAAATACATCAAATTACCTACAACTTTCCACTCTCTCTCATCTTCTAGATGAATTATTGCAACTGCACAATGAAGACACATACAAGCTCTGTTTTTACACCAAAATCCAGGTTTTGTAGTTGTATTTGTGATGGGATCCAAGTATCTTCCATTTGAGGTTAAGTAAGTGGGAATGAACTTCAGAAGCATCTATTTGAAATGCATTTTAATTCTAAAAGTGTAAAATTCAAAACAGATATACTACCCCTGAAATATATATATAATATATATATATATTATTTTTATTTATATTGACCTTTCAGCCATGCCTAGTTAACAATACAAAGTTACATTGATGTGGTGCACGTGCACTCGTTACTGTATCCAATAATATAAAACTGACCTTTAATCTCTACAAAATGACCTGTCTTGGCTGTGTTTCAGTGAATTAGTATTTTGTAAAATAGTCACATTTCAATTATTATACATTATATATGCATATAGATTATTACTATTTACAAATAAGTTCTTAAACTTATTTTTCTTAACATGTAGAACAGTAAATAAAGAAGTAAATCAAACAATTATCTCTTCTAGTTCCGACCTTTGTACTCAGTTGCACATAGAGGATGTGAAACAAAATACCTTTCTTAGGTTTCATATATACATTTGAATAACCAAAATATTATAATTACTATACTGATACCATAGAATTCAACTATAATTTTACAAATTTAGTAATTAGGCTGTATTTGGGTCTTAAAAAAATATGAAATTTAGAGCAGACTAAAGACTCATTTTACCAGCTTGAAGATTTGTATCAAATAAACGAGATGACAATCTGATTTGATTGGTTATTCACATGTTATAGACAGAAGAAAGTGTAAATAAGGGAGCATTTACAAAATGGAAAGAGGTGAACTAGGCCACTGTGTTTGATTCAGTACGAGTGATATCTCAGCAAATAGAAAAGATAGCAGGTTCTTATTTTATATTTTAGCTTGTTAGTATCCGTAATTTGAGTTCCTAATTCATACAAAAGTACAGACTTTGTATTTTGACATCTCAAACATCTAATTTGAACCAATGCTGCATTCAACATACCATGTAACACAAAAATCATAATTAAGTGTGTTATTTTTACATTTAATTTTAAGTTAAGAAATTAAATGATGTATAATATTAAAATTAGAATTATAATCTACAGTTTGATACCAAAGTTATTGACTGCAAGTGAACAAACACAATGACATGGCCTTTGACACTTGACCCACCTGGAAAGGGTTAAAAGAGCATGAAAAAAAAAACCCTTCCCAAGTCCATGAGCAGATAAAGAAAAATAAACGCAGTTTTTCTGAACAGAATGTCATGGTACTAAAACATGAACCCTATATTAACACAAGAAAAATTAGAAGCTTTTTTAATAAAATCAAACAATCTCAGAATTAATAAATACCCAGCTACATCTCTGTACGCCTGTGATCGTTTTTTACCCACACATTCCTAATCTTTTGGAAATATTTCACATAACGTATTCCACATTTTTTATATCTATTCAATTTGTTTATTTCTGTTCAGCCATAAATAAATAAATCTGTCAATTCATGCAGATTGATATGCACATACAGAATTAACCACTATTAATGCTAAACTTTAAACACGTTGTTAGACTGTTGATTTAAATACTTAAACCTTCTTTACTTATGTCTGTGAGAATGATTTTTTTTCTTTCTAAAAACAAATCTTCCTAACTGTAAAAACTGTAACTTGTAATAAAACAGTACGTCATTAGTACTATAAACTCAAAACGAAACTATTAAATATCAATTTTGTTCAGAAGTTATGAGGAAAGAGTGGTTGTTATGACAACTGAGTGTACATACGATTGTGAAATCTACTAGGAACTGACAATGCAGCCCCTGCATGCCGAAAGCAAACTGCACGAGAAAGACTCCTAATGATGTTTTAGAAGTTCTGATATTGTTGGAAAAACTTACATTAGAATTAATACTGGGTTTCAGAATCAACATAGCAAGCTTAAAGGCATTAGTTAAAAAAAATATCTAAATCATGGCCAGAAATCAGAGTTTGGATACGTTCTCTAGACGTAAATGCAACAAGTCAGGTGGAGTGGAGAACTATGGGTATGTTGATGCACGGTCTGCCATTGTGTCAAGAACATTCAGAATTTTAATGATCTTTGTTGACATTATCTTTCCCCCTAATAAATCCCTCTTCAATGTGATCAGTAGTTACAACTTGATTAGAGCGCATACTTCAGTAACTAAATAATGGGAAATGATACACGTATCATTAAAATAAGAAAAACATATACATCTTAGATGTATTTTTTTACATCTCACGCATCCTGTTCTTTACATATACAACTGATAAATTGTCATTACTTTACACATGGAGGAAACTGGTAACCACAAAAATATTTCCAAATATTTGAATTACCTGTCTTGTATTGCTTTCTTCTTGTAGCTTCTTCTTCAAGTCGTTATACAGAATTTCAAATTCAGCTCTAGTATTCTGACACGTTTCTCTCTCCATCATCATATCTTCTTCCGATTCCTATACAAACCACAAAAACTGTATCATATTTGAACGCTAAAAATAATGAAGCAATTTTACATGTAACTACAAAATTTCTACTAATGTAAACTGTTATAAGTTAATACTTATATTATTATTAAATCCCCTTTTAACAAGATATTAAAAATAGAGAAATTTTATAATATAAACTAAAAATACTAATAAAACCCACTAAGATGGTGAGAAAATAGGTTAAATATATTAAATACCGAGATATTCTATACTTATTCAGTAGTTAAACTGTACAAAACAGAGAGCCAGATCCAGGATTTTTGTTGGGGATGGGATGTTTTCCACCAAGTTGTGAAAACATTCGAAAAAAATTAGTGTTTTTTTTTTTATTAGGTATAAAGGTACCTTTACTTGGTGTCCATCGGACCCCTGAACTAATATATATTAAATTAGGGCTTCTTTTATTATCTATTCATCAACAACAACAAAAAAACTATGTATACTTAGTTAAAGAACAAATTAATTTGAGATAATTTTAAAATACAAAAAATAATTCAACAAAGAAAGTTTTAACTTTTTTTTTTACCACAATTCTTCTCTGATGTTTATCATAAAGGTCTCTGTGAATTTGATGAAGTCTAGAGTTTTCTTCTTGAAGCATCAGCCCCTGGTTCTTAGCAATAGCCAAATCTTCTTTCATCAGTGTGTTAGCTGTCTGAAGTTGCTCCACTTTCTGTTGAAGATTGGTGACTGTGGCACTGGAAGAAACATTATATTCTCAGTCACTAATACGTCACGTTGTGGGTTCAGCGACGTTTATTATATTCTCAGTCACTAATACTTCGCGTTGTGGGTTCAGCGACGTTTATTATATTCTCAGTCACTAATACTTCGCGTTGTGGGTTCAGCGACGTTTATTATATTCTCAGTCACTA